GAGTATGTGCGTCAAACTGGCTGTCGGGCAAGCAGGACAAGAGGAGGGGACGGAGAGAAAGACAGCAGGCACCTGTGCAAGCAGCAAGTCCACCACAATGACATCATTGTGTGTTAAGGGCAGGTTCCCACTGCCAGAGAACAGACTTCGCGTCTCTGGCCCCTGTAGTACTGTACATGTTGGTGATAGAACTGTTCCCTGAGCCGGAATTGCGGGACAATACCCCATACAGAGCAAAAGTGTCGTGTTGAGGGCACTAGTGTGAATGCGCTGCAATTATGCCGGCTTCCTATGTTTCCGTACAACTCGTACCATGCTTCTACTCCGGCTAGCGATGCTTTGTGCATCAGAAATATGATCTCGTCCCGGAGTACCTCAGCTTCACCAGCTTGAATGAGCAGGGGAGGCAAACCCTTGAAGTCGCCAAACAATAGGCTTGCTAATGCCTGGCTTAGCGGCATGACGAAGGGAAAGCCCCTAGAGCAAGCAGCCTAGATCTTCTTGCACAGCGAGGAGAAGTCACACCATCAGCAAAAATGTCCAATCGTTGCAACGCGGTTTGTATTGGCAATGTAAGGAGTGCTTGCATAGGATTTCATCATAATGCTAGTCTTGGCAAGATGAGTGTTGCATTGGCGTTAAATATGAGAGCTTAATATTTGTGATCACTGTAGTATATAGAACCGTCATTGTAACTCATCAAATTGCACTGGAACACATAGGCATGACCAGTCAGGAATTCCAATGTGAGTAGGGTGTTCCATTGCCATTAGCATCATACACCTGGCCAAGTAGTAGTTTGGCAATGGGAGTCTGTAGCAGGCACACCGCCCGTAAATCCGACACAATATCGCTCAGGAATGTATGCGAAAAATGATATGAATTAAGATGACTACAATACAAAAATACATGGGACCGTCTTCCTAACTCGGATACCCTTGTGCCACACGCCCTTGGTTTTGCTGACGACCCACGCACGCTGTCCTCCGCCCTCTTCACCGTCTCGATTGCTGTGTTCGCAGGCGCTGGCGGGGTCAAGAGCAACACCGAGCGCAAGACGCACGGAGCGGGGAGTACTGCGCGGTCTTGAAGACTGAGGTGTGGAGGAGGGGCGTTGCGTGGCCTAGGAGGGAGGTGGACGGTTTGGGTGCCAATGCAGCGGTAGCGTGGGAGCAGGGTACGGTGAGACAGGGAGAGTGAAGGGACAACGGAGAGGATGGGACGTACATGGAGGCGCTTGCTGGCCTCTGCGCAGGAAGGGCTGGGAGTCGCATCCGAGCGTGGGGACAACGTCGACCACATGTTCGAGGTGTATCTCTGGCTGGCGAACTAGGCTGAGCGGCGCTGTGCAACGGCAGAAAACTCCCCAAGTTGCGAAGTTGCGCAGCTTGACATATGTGAAGTGCTTGAGGTATAGATCCGTGGATGTGATGCCTGACACCAATGTGAGGCCGGGGTTTGCTGTATGCGCTGAAACACAGATGGACTTACCTTACCGTTAGCGCGACTCGGAGTTCTTGATGGAACAGTACAAACCTCTGCTACGATGGAGTCAAACGCGCTCTCCGCAGATTCCCAGATAGCGACAGTAGTCAAGGCCAAGTATAAGACACGAGTGACAAGTGACCAGTGGTGCGTGGGCGGCAGCGGCGCCCATCGTCCTCGCAGGATATGCACCGTGAAAGGCTTGAGCAGCCTCAGCACGAACCATAGCTGATAGAGAGTAGGCAGCATGACCGACTGTCCAAGGGCAGACACCGCCAAGTATGGTACAGTCAGTGTGAGGCTATACACGAGCATCGTAAGTATGATGTTGGCCGTGCACATGAGACCAACCGAATGGAGTGCGAAGGTTAGTCTACTTACCGCTATAGCAAGCAAACCAGTCAGGTCCGTAATAGCAGGATTTCTTCGAGTAGGCGATAAGCTTGGTGGTAGGAGAGGAAACAAAAGGAGCAATGAGTGATTTGCGTGCTTGCTTGCACTTATGAGGAAAAACCGACGAGCACGACAGGTCGTGAACGATGACGTCACATGTGCCGGAGTATTGAAGCTGGCCACGATCCGCTGCCTTGACCCTAACCCAACCCTCTTCTCCTCACCCTCCAGCCCATCTTCGGAGGCAAGGGACTTCAAAATCGCTTTCGATAGAGGCGTCAAGAATCGATGACTTGAAGGGCAACACAGTAGCGTCAGACACCATGCACGGGACAAGTTGCCATGGACTTGGGGGACCGCAGGAGACTTTGCTCATGCTGAGCACGCAAAACTGATGTGTGAGAAGCAAGGGATAGATCTGGCAGGATAGAGCTGTGAAACCGGTTGAAGCCCGCTCGGGGAGAGCGATCGACGACGAGAGACAGTACTTGGTAGCGGTGACGGGTAAGGTGTGCTGCGGGCGAAGGAGCGATCAGCGCCGTGGAGGGGCCGCAATTTGAGCGACAGAGGCATACAGTCTCACCCGTGCACATGTCATTCCCATTCTGTAAGTATGTCAATCAATGGTCAATCTATAAGTTATATATGGCGAGTTTCTTGCAGGCAATGTCATTGCCATCAAAATCCCCGACGGCCTTATTATCGACTCGCCCCGCCAAGGTTTGCAATGGCGAGCTTATGCGTTCCAATTCCCTGCTTGCCAATTTTGGTGTTACCATTCCGGGCACGCATTGCATTGCCACTGCCACGGTTCAGCACATTTGCTGATGACGGTCCTAGAGACAGACTCAAGCTAGCTTGTACATAACAGAGCCACAGCTAGAGACAATCGTAGACGTCATGTCCTTAGAGAGATGCCCGTCTGATCTCACAACGTTAGAGCTAAATCAGACACGTCAAATGGGCGCTCAAATCCGCCCGTCCGACCGAAATCGACATGGCACGAGTATTGACAGCTGAACACCATCTCGCACGCCCCAAATCGATTGAAACCATGCACGTTCTCACTGGGGAGCAGCTCTGACCTTACGCCTGGTTTGTGTCGTGATCAGGACACCTAACGTCGTCCAGACGAGACGATGGGTTGAGACAGGCTTGGTTAGATCATTGAGTCGCGATGATTGCTTATAAGCGCATAATAACTGTATTGTACGACCAACAAACTTGAGTCACAACACTCATCGTCAAGCCGCATTCGTGCAGATAGTCAGTCTCGAACCTACACTAACGAATGAGCGACAAGGAAGGCCTCCAGATGCGTGGGTAGCTCCAGGCTTCAAGGGTCAGGGCCGGTCTGGCGGTCTGTGCTTTGAATGGCGTTGGCTGGCTGTCTAGGTAGGGATATTCCCATAAATACTGGGAGGGAGAGGATACAAATACTGCTGAGCGAGGACGACCTTGGCAGATGTTCAGCCGAGAGAACACTCTAGGACCCGAGACTGGTAAGGAAGACAGGTGTCTCGGACACGTTCGTCTTCAAGCCTTCAGATGACCGCACTGGGAGGAGGCGGCACTGAAAGGAAGGAGAATGGATGCCGGTCCAGAGAGGTGTTGTAAGCATGGCGCCGTTGAGAAACATGATGGGCTACGATTCTCGCCATGTAATGTGGTGACAGGAAGAGGCAAGGGAAGCGGGACTAGAAGGTGAGCGGTGCAATGGAGAGAAGGCGTAGGTCATGATCGCGTGGTTTATCCGTCTACTACATCCCCAGCGAGCACCGCTGAATGTGGACTGCGCGTGTGGTATGCGCCAAGGAGACAGGGCGGCGACATAACGTCTGGTTGGAAGGGTAAGAGAATCAAAGGGGAGAAATAGGCTAAGCTAAAGCCTTTCTGTTCAGGTGTCATGAAGATGGAGCGGAGAGTCTCTTGCCACCATGGCACATATCACAACAGGCATTAGCCAATATTCCGGATCCGAACTGGGACAGAGAAATGGCCTGGGAATGGATGCCTGTCACAAGTAATGTCCCAAAGCCTAGCTCCGGACCTGAGCCAGCCGGCGCTCTGATACCATATATAGGATATTGCCACTCCAGACCCTCAAATAAGGAGCATAAACGCTTATGTCATGCGCTTTGTCAGCACTGGTATTCCTTTTCAGGGGTTTTAGCGCCCGCTGGCTCAGGTCCAGAGCTAGGCTTTGGGACATTACTTGTGACAGGCATCCATTCCCAGGCCATTTCTCT